ATTAATAAAAAAATCATGCTTTAAAGATTGATAAAATTATAAAAATAAGAAGAAATTTTAAAGAATATCTAAAAAGGAGGCTAAAAGTATATTTGTATAGCAACTAGTGTTTTTAAAAGTGATAGGCGTCTAAAAGCGCCAAGGTCCCAAAATGCCCAAGATGCTAGGCGCTCACCTAGTCGCCAGCCTAAGCAAAGCGAGACGCTATGAAATATTAAAATATTAAAAATATGTAATACAATTGATACATATGATATATAAATAAAAATAAAACATTAAATGGAAAAGATCTAAAGTACCAAGTCATATTATGCATCTTTTAATAACAAAAATATCAAAAGACTCAAAACAATAAAGCTTTACATCAAATTCAATCATCATCATAATCAACATTATCATTCTCAAACTTATCATCATCTTTCTCTTTCTCTTATTCATCTTTATCAAAATATGTTTTCTCCTCTTCAACAATAGTAGAAGATGAACTTAAGGCTTTTGTACTCATTTTTGCCTTCGTCATCTGTCTTGTATATGTCTATAGGCTCTTATCGCAAATCCCTATATCAAGCTGTCATCTTCAAATACAAGCTTATCTTTAGCATCTTGCAAGTTTGCATCCATTTTCTCCACCAACTATCTACTTGAATTATCACTATCTTGTAATCATATAATTATTAATGCTCTAATTGATTTTTTCTCTTTGTGTGAATTTGCTAAGTCATATGAATTAAAAATATATCAATACATCTGTCTAAAAAAGAATAGATTAATTGAAACCAAAATATTTTATAATTTTTACCTGCTCAAAAATACTCCAGTTTCGCTCATAACTTATAGCATTATAAGTCAAACTAAGAATTTTGATTACCAATTGCTATAAGTTCGAGGTAGAATTTTCAAATAGACTCCACAATTTAGCTACAAAATTTAACTTTATTATTAATAATAACATACTATACATAAAATTAATTATATATATTTATAAATACCTAGGGATGTAGTTGTCCTAGATCGAACTACCATAGGAATTCAAAAAAGACCATCGACATTCATATATAAAGATAATTCACATATGATCTTATCTTATGCCTTAAGCTTTGAACCAATCTTGTAATACACTTGTATAACCCATGTATAACTTTTGCATCAAACTCAATGGAGGTGTTCTTATAAAAGAATTCTAGGTTTAAATAATATCCTGCTGTATGTAATGGACAATAAAGTTGACAATCTCATCTTTCCATCAAAAGACTTTTGAATCGTTTCCTTTGCTTTATCCGAAACCTCATAAATATATCTCATTATAGACTTCTTTTCATTATCTACCAACCGAAGGACTTAAAAAAGAGGGCCCATTACCTTTAATGTATAAACTATAAGATTCCAAAAGGACGACATTAATATGATATCATTAACCCTCTTGTCTTTCCCTTCTTTTGCCCATTTACTTGTCACTCATTTCTCTGAGACAAGCATATTTCTTAGATTGTATTTTTAACGATGCATGCTCTATAATATTAAGAAGGAAATAACAAATCAGATGACACCATATCTCACCAATTCATTATTATATGTGAATTCTCTCATCATATTGAAAGCCTCAATATGATTATAGAGAAATCCAACGACAATGATTATCATTTCTAAAGTCTTTTTGATGTCAGAAATATTTCCAATATCCTCCAACAGTAGATTAATACAATGTCTCACGCATGAAGTTTAATACAGGTGTTGTTTTTTTGCTTCAAGTATTTACCTAAGACAAAGGATAACAAAATTGATAAGACTAAGGAGTCATATAGTTCTTCCATTCAAATTAGAGACAGAGTAATTAAAATGTTAAAAAATTTAAAAGATAAATCTTACTAGCTAACACATAGTTACTTCTATTGTCGATCATAACTTGGACGATATTCTGTTCACCAATTTCTTCCACAAACTTGTCAAGCAACTCATATATCTTTTCTTTAGATTTCATAAAAAAAGATACATTTATTAACTTCACAAACATGATTTTTAAAGAATAGTTAATCATAAATTAATTATACTCCTATATCTCCTATCGGTGTAACCATCTAACAAAATAAAGCAACCATGCCTTACCCATGTTTCCTTATGGCCCTTCAATAAGTCATTTGTATAATCCAACTCTTTCTTCAGTAATAAAACTAGTAACTTATAATAACTTGATGGTTTTAATCTCTCACCATATCTTCCAACTATCAATCATCTCTTTAAAACTATCCAAACGACAAGCATTAAGGGGAAGTCAAACTTGATAGAAGAAGCGAGCAATGTACTAAATTATTTTTCCCCTTAGTTCCTTATAAAAAACATCACTTATATTTGTTTGTCTTAAGTTTGCTCTTGTTTAACCTTGTTGCTTCTATGATCCTTATATATATATATATATATATATATATAAGTTCATCGGTCCCTTTTTACCCTTAACAATCATAGCTTCTTTTCCTTTTTTGTCATATACTCTTTTTCCACTGGCATTAGCACTTTCTAAATAATCTTCTTCTTCTTAATCTCTAATATGTTGAACATTATCCTCAAGTAAAATCCTATAAGATTCGATCTTTTGTGTGTTTTTTTAGTCATATAAGCTACCAACTCTTCTTTTACAGTGAACAATTTTTACATTCTGATGAATTCTTGAAGTTCCCTACTTGACATTGTTTTGCACGGAAAATGTCGCCTCTAGTAGTCATATCACAAAAGATGCAAGTAACTACATTAAGATCTTTAGGATCCTTTAGATAATTGTATTTCCAAATATGATCCTTTCTTAAATTTTTTATGAATTTTTTTGAATTGCTTTGTACACTTGCCATTAATCCTGAAACCCTAATAATAGTTCTAAATAAATAGAGATTAACAATGCTAAATAAAGAAATAATAATTCTAAATAGCAATTAACAATGCTAAATAAAAATTAATAATTCTAAATAGGAATTAGTTTTAAATAAATCAATAGTTCTAACTTCTAAGGATTAATATTAGTTTTAGTTTATTACATAGTAATAGTAGTTAACACTTAACAATAGTTTTAATATCAGTTAAGGAATAATAATCCACTATTAATAGTATTTAATTCACTATCAATGGAAGTTATAATAATAGAGGGGGAGGAATCACCGACGGTGGAACGTGGGGAAGGAGAGAATGGCGATGATAGAGGAACCTTTGGACGATGACAGCAGTGATGGAGGAAGCTTTAGATGTGTCCGTCGGTGGTGGAGGAAGTTACAGTCCTATCCCTCTACGGTGGAAGAAGCTGTACATGGAAGCAACGGTAGCGAAAGAAACTATGCACAAAAGCTATAACAATGGGACCTTTGAACATGTCTGTTAACGACAGAGGAAGTGTCGGACTTGTGCGTCGGCAATGGAGGCAACGACTGCGCACAAAGGTAGCAACGGGACTAGAGGTGAGTTAGGCAAGCGAATATTTAGGGTTTATGGGTCGAGGGTCACGCAAGAGGGGGGTTTGCTGTTTTGCTCAGTTGTTTTGATTGGATAAAAGTTACTGTTTAACCGAAATAGAGTAGACCATCTGGTTCAATTGCTCATCTTCAATCGTGCGGTTGGCCAAGGCACCCGATGCTGGGTTCACACGAACGCCTAGGCGACACTTCATTAAAATGCATTGCTCGACAACTATTTGAGGCACTCGAGTGAGCCTAAGCAACACTTTATTTAAGCGCATCGCCCGACAATTGTTCAAAGTTGCTAGAAAAGATATGAAAAGAAATATTTTTATTTATGAACAACTAGGTATTGCTTCAGTAGAGAATAAGATGAGAGAAAATCGTTTAAAATAGTATCGGCATGTGCTAAAAAGATTTCAGGATACGATAGTCAGAAGAGGTGAAAAAATTAATATTTATGGTGTGAGAAAAGATAGAGGAAGATCTAAAATAGTTTCAATAGAAACTTTAAATAAAGAATTAAGTACTTTTAACTTAACTAAATATATATTTTTTTATAGGTCTCGATAGCGATAAAAGATCTATATTGCTAACCCCAAATATTTGGGACTTATGACTTTGTTGTTATTGTTGTAGGACTAAACTTGAATATATGAGATAGATAGCAAGATATAGTGAGGTTGGATGGGCAGAGGCTCCATTAAGTGAAAGAGGTATCATGTATCAATTATACAATAAAATGAAGAGATTAATGAAGATATTATTTATATATTAATAAAAATATTATTTATAGAGTAAAAAATAATTAAAAATTAAGGATTATTAAGAATCTTATGTACTCATAAGATACCTTTGAGATTAAAAAAAATTATAAAATAATTATTAAATTAGCTATGTTTTATGAATTTGGTTATTGGATAATTAAAACACAACATATACAAAAATTTTATATTATTGAGATGAGAATGTAGAGGTGCATGTGTAGTGTTATTAGACCAGATAGAAAAAAAATTTCATTAGTGAATAATTAGATATTGCTTTGATAGATGATATAATGAGGAAAAATAGTTTAAGATAGTATGAATATGTACTCAGGAGACTTATAGATGCACACTTAAAAGAGGTGAAATAATTAGTATGAGGATAGATTGAGCAAGGCCTAATAAGAAGACCTTAATAGAAATTATAAATTATGATCTAAATACTCTTTACTTAACTAAACAGATCTTAATGATGACAAAAACACCTATGTAGCCATTGGGACTTTATAGCTTTTCTTTTGTTGTTGTTTGCTTACTAATGTATAAAAGACCTAATAAGAAGACCTTAATAGAAATTATAAATTATGATCTAAATATTCTTAACTTAACTAAACAGATCTTAATGATGACAAAAAAACCTATGTAGCCATTGGGACTTTATAACTTTGCTTTTGTTGTTGTTTGCTTACTAGTGTATAAAAGTGCAACCGGCTATATGAGTCCATTGTAAAGCATAATTCCTCATCATCATTCATTTCATAAACTAGTAATCAAATGAGGGCATGATTAGCAGCATACTTACAAAACCACAGGGACTACAGTCAAAAACTTCCTATTACGTGTGAGTTGCTTGCCATTGTCAATCTGTTCCCACCAAGTCAAGTTATTGTAGATACCTTGGTCATCAGAAAAGGGTGTTCCCTTCTTCCAATGAAAGAAGTGATAGGTTATCTGAAAGAAAACAAATCATGAAGCATAATAAGGATTTATGAGATGAAAAACCAATCAATATGTTGAACCATTAACAATGAGAGAAGTGATAGGTTATCTGAAAAACAACAAATGATGGAGCATATTAAGGATTTATAAGAGAAAAAACAATCAATATGTCGAACCATTGACTGCCATTAATAGAAATGTGAGGTACAATAGTATTTAGTCTTGCATTTCTCACAAAAAAAGAGAAGCTCTGTAACTGAATCAGGCATAATACTGAAGAAGACTCTATGAGAATATGCAATAGGATACATGAAAATCAAATTTGACATTATCTTAGATAATCATTTAATTCTAGACAAAAATGGTAGAAAACTCTGTAATTATTAAACCAAATAAGACAGTTGAAATCCAAAAAATAAGCCAAGTCCATAATATACAAAAAAATTAAAAACTTAAAATGAAACACAAATGATATTTCACACTAAAGCCCTTGAGCTTAATCTCTGAAGTAGAATCACATCTTTATAAAAATGTTACCAAGAGTACGAAAAGTTAGTGTTAGTAATCCTTGAAAATCATTGTCTTTTTCACCATTTGCTTTGTTTTGCAAAGTTATATAACTTTTCCAATTAATCATGCACAAGCAGCTCAATTAGAAAGCCAAATACTCCTCCAGGTATAACCCAGATGGCCTAGAACTTCTTTTCCTTCTTACACTTAAAAGATCAAAGATAACTCTATCGTGCAAAAGCTATTGCTTTGAGCTTTTAATAATCATCCTTATGCTCCCAAATTGATTAGCAAAAAAGGGAGGATCTCAAGCAAAGGCGATAAGCATCAAATAAGGCATTTTTTCCCTTTGTAAATCTTTCCAAAGCCCAAAAACGCCGAAGTTTTTGTCTTGCACAATCTGCTCCGATAGGGAAATCACTGGTTGTAGTCGCAATTATCACACGAATAAAACCATAAAAAGAGATCCTTGGATTCTCCGAATGACGATTCCAAACCTAGGACGAGAAACCCAAATTCAACGTCCAAGGGAGACGCTCAATTTTCGGAACACAAAACCCAATTAAAACACAGGACTCAACAATTAATTCAAAATCATTATCAAAATCACAACTTCTGTTCTCCTGGTCGCCAAGCAACGATCACCAGATATATTTAACTCCTGAAACGAGGATAGAGAGGCCATACGGCAAAGTGGACAAGATTGACGACAGTCCACGCCGTCCCGGGGTTGCAGCCGAAGACGGAGAGGACGAGAAGCCAGGAGAAGAATAGGATAAGGATGTAGGTAGTCCAAACTCCAGGGTACATGAACCACTCCGTGTTCTTGTTCAGATCCGCCGGCGGCACCGCCTCCACGTAGAGCTTCGCCATCTACCGTAGCCGCTACCTCGATCCCTTAACCTCAGGGAATTGGGTTCGAACGAGTAAACTGGAGCGATTTGGATACTTCAAGAGATGTCGCCCATCGAAGAATTGCAAACCAAGGGGTGGAATCAAGAGGAGAACGTTACGGATAAGGTAGGGAATAGCGTTTCAACGAAGAGATACAGAGGTCAGAGAGAGAGAGAGATTATAGGGACGGATTTTCCTGCGACTTAAGTTACGACGATTGTAGTGGAAGCACAAGAAAACGTCGTCGGAAGTTAATATCCAAAACTTGCAGTACCTTCGACTGCAGCTCAGCTGGCTCTCGGAATGCAGGGAACACCGTTCCTTTTCACACATGACGTCTGACGGTCTCCCTGACGCCACAGCTCTGCCGGTGAGGCCCCGTCCGCGTGTGTGTGTCTGCGAAGAGGGGGGGGGGGGGGGGTGCAATCGAGTTCCCTGAGTGAGGCACGCCAGGAAACCCTCTTCCGTCAGCTTCGATGGAAGGCAAGCACAGCGCCAATCCAACAAATTTAAGAATTTTACGTATTTAATTCATGTTTTTCTAATGTTTTTTGGAATTCTATTTCCTTGGAATCACGGTTACTCCACCACCTCGCCATGCAAAATCTGTGAACATTTGGGTGGGTCATGGATTTGTGATGCTCCTTCACGGATTCCGTTGCTCTCTATTGTTTCATTTTTTTTCTCTCTGTTCTGCTCTCTTTCTTCTATGTTTCCTGTTTTTTTTCTTTTCATCTGATTTACACTTTTCTATCTGCTTCTCCTGGCACTGCTATTAACTCTCCGTACACCCTTCGCCATCACCTCCCTGCATCGCCACACGATCGAGCATAAGTTACATAAGCAGAGTATAAATCTCTGAGGTATAAGCACTGCTTAGTAAATCAACTATGCTTTGATTGAAGCAATGAGTAGGAACAGCCAGCAGCCCCCCTAGAACTGGAGTCCGGAGCAAATCAGATTGTCTTAAGTCATGGAAATCCACGATTGGTAAGAAAAACACTTTCGGCCCCTCTGTTGGATTTTGTCAAGTCCTCGGTTTCGAAGCTTTGGAGTCGTTCCTCTCCCCCCTTTGATCCTCGATCTGGCCCGAGGTTACTTTCTCTTTCGCTTTTCGTCAGAGGAACACGTTGGACGCGTTCTAACCGACTGGTTCCGGTGCTTGGAACGACTGCCGATTTGGATCTAACTATTGGGTCCTTCAACTGCCGCCGCTTTCTGATGCGCCGGACCTTGTGGATACATCTCAGCCGTCCACGTCGGCCGAGTTGGCCAACCGTGAGTCTGGGTCTTCGGGTCACCCAGCCTATGACTCATCCTTCCCCGGGCGAGACTCCTCTCACACCTGCGATCGGTGTCAAATTTCTCACCGCCTATGACTCAGCCCATGCCATCCACGGCTACTGGGCTAGCCAACAGCGGTCAATCTGAGTCTTCGGTCCACTCCGTGTTGCGTGTGGACTTGGGAACTGCAAGAGAATATTTGATCGCCAATCCAGCGTCTGACGCAGCTGCCAGCTACAACTCCCTCGTTGTTGCCTGCGGTTCCCTCCAATAGCTCCAGAAGCCATGCATTCCTGGGCTAAGCTCTCCACCTCCCCTCAGGCCTCGGTCTCATCCGCTCCATCCTGTGGCGATGGGCTTTGCAATGGGCCTTTGCTCCTCGGCCACCTATCATGGCCCTATGCTGCGTGGCTTAGAGCCCGATTCCGTTGGCGATGAGATCGTTGATGTTCCACTTCGATACGAGGAATCTGCTGCCTCCAAAACCCCCGATCAACATGTTGGGGAGGCCTTCTCCTTGTATGGAATTCTTTCACCGCTACAGTCGAAGGACCATCCCTCCATCCTCGATGCATACATGCTAGTGTTTGCTTGGTTTGTCATAATTGAGATTCCGTGGTGCATGGTGATTTTAAATGTATTCTCAACCCTTGTGACAGACAAATGGGGCGATTCCCGTTTTGTTAACTGTTCATTGTGCTATGATTGATCTTGGTTTTATTGGGCCTAACTTCACTTGGACTAACGAGGCCTGACCCATGTCAGTGTTAGATTAGATGGTGTTTTCTTTTTGGCTTAACCTATTCAGACCGTGTTCCGTTAGGCATTTAACCAATGTCCTGTGTTATTCTCGATCGTCTCGGGTGGTCAATGGATTAGGAAATAGTTGTTTTATTTTCAGAATTTTTGAATTGAGAATCAAGGATTCCATGATGACATTAGAGCCAACTGGTTGACTCATAATCACCCCACTAATCCTGTTAAGATCTTGTTGGAATTGGCAGCAGTTTAGTCACTTGGACCAACGGGTTGCTGATGTTCAAATTTTAATTTCTAATTTGGAGTCTAAAGATGCTCCTTGTTGGGCTTGATGATAGTGAAGCTTCTCAGCTCTCCTGTTTGTACAACCAGTTTAATATTATCCATCCTCAGGCAAATCAATTTAAAGGTGATGGCCTTTAAGCCAAAACTAATTTGATCGATTATGGTGATCGCAACGCTCAATTATTACTATAATCTGATTACTTGTAGATGTAGGCAAAACTTTATCCACTCTCTTAGTTAACTTGTATACAGAGCTCTGGACTCAAACCTTGTATCTCTGATTTTTGCTCCTTGGAGTGGTGACCTTCGATGCCTGGTATTATTGATGATTCTGCTCATGGCTCCTTGGTTCCTCCCTTTGATCATTTTGAGATTGGCAATCTATTCGTCATTTGGGTTATGAGAGGAGTCTCAGATCTCACGGTCGAATTTTATCATGGGTTCGTCCCTTCTATCCGACACAAAACTTTTATCATCTTTCTTTCTAAATGTTCCAACCAGTCGGTCATTCCTGAATTACCAAATCCTTTCTAAACATTTGACCAACCGCAAGAATGTCTGCTGCCTCAACTCAGTTGATTTTTAATTGACCGATTAGCCTTTCTTAAGTGGCACAAGAGGTTGCATATTTTTTGTTTAGGTCTTAAGAAAGAAACAAAAATCTATATGTTATTATCAAGATTGACCTCGAGAAGACTTATGACCCCATCGCTCTTGGTCTACCATCATCAACGCTCTTCATGTGTTTTAACTTTCTTAATCTTTTTTTTAACTGCATTTTTTAATATGTTTGTGTGATCAACGGTGAGCATTTTGCCAATAAGGGTGACCTTCTCTCCCTATCTTGACATTGTTGTGGCTCAGCTTCTCTCTTTCATGATTCTCGACTTACTCTCTTTTGTGTTTTAAACACACATTGTATTTTGTCTTTTTGTGTTTTAGAGCCAAATCAAATATCCTATGCTTCCATTAGGTATATTTTTGAATGATATGAATGGTCTTACCAATCAAAAGATTAACCTTACTAAATCTATTATTTCCTTTCCTTGGTTTATTCGATTCGTGCTCAGATCAAACAAATTTGCAATTTCTTTAACATTACTGTGATCACATCAAATATTTAAGTTAGGAATTGATTTTATTTTCTTACTCGTTATTATAATTTAAGGAAATCTTAATCTACTTGTTGATATAAATTAAGAAAATAACTATTAAATATAAATTAAGGAAATAACTATTTGTTATTATAATTTAAGGAAATCTTAATCTATTTATTGATATAAATTAAGAAAATAACTATTAAATATTCCAAATATGATGATATCATATTTGTTAGTATATTAATTGAAAATAATTTATATTAAATAAATACGAAAATTAAAATGAATTTCCCTTAGAGGCTCACCTCCTCCTATTTAAATGGAGAGATTTCTCTCCTTCCTCACCTAATCAAGCTTGAGGAACGAGGAGTTACACCTTGTTGACAAGAGATATATTTCCCTACCTTTCTTAAATTTAAAAGTTTTAGTTTTTATTTTGATTCTTTAAATGTTGAAAGTTTTATAGTTTGAAAAATATGTATCAATTCTTTAAATGTCAAAATTTTTGCATTAAAGTAATTAGTTAAAGTTTTCATAATATTCTTTAACCAATGATTAAGGTTTTTATTATAGAGTTAAATATGTTAAAAATGTATTTGTTTTATATGATATTTTTTGTATTATAGTTTATCTTTAATCTTATCTGGATTAAAATCTTGTTAGATTAGAATATGTTATCTAAAATCATTTTTGATATTCTTTGATATGAAATTTAAAATATATTATTCTGAATGATTTAAAATATGACTAGAATATGTTGAAATTTTATATGTGTTGAAAACATTATTTTTATTTTAATTTAGAAGGCTATTTTCTTGTATTAAAACTTATCTCTCAGTCCCTCTTTTAATGTCTTATGATTTTTAGTCAAATTTAGAATGTTATTTCTTTGTATTAAAGCTTTTCTCCTCGTCTATCTTTTAATGCATTATTATGTTTTTATTTATAATGTTAATGGGTCTATGCTATGATATGAAATTAGATATTAATTGGAATAAAATTGCTCACAGGTCAAGCCCACCCCACGGGTCAGGCCTTGGCCCGTAGGCTACCCCAACCCAACCATTATGGGCGATCACATGCGACGCACATGACTAGTCCATGGGCTAGGGCTAGGCTAGTTTTGTGTAATGCATGCTCAATCATGTATAATGCACATGACCAGTAGATGGACTAGCTCAATCTAGCCCAATATTATTGTTGAACTTGAGCCCAAATATTAATTGAACTAAACTAGACTTGATTAGTCTAGATCAATTCAGGGTAATTCCGAATTGATTGACTTATTCAAGTTAGTTTAACCTAAATTGAACTTAATCTAGTCTAAATTATACTAGTCTAGGGTGTTCCAGATCAGTTAAATAAGGATTAGAGACCAGTTTAGTTAGGCTATAGTAAATCGAGTTCAATTGAATCGATTAAACTAGAGTTCAAGTCAATTGATGGCTAATTTATATTATTTGATATTGATGATATTTGAAAGAGACATTTTAAATATGTTATTTCATCCCGAAATGGACATGACTAGTGTGAGATTATATTATTT